TTGCAGTTCAGGTGTTTCTGCTGCAGAGTTTTGGGGTCCATTCCAGGTTTTTGGGGTCCATGCCAGGTTTTTGGGGTCCACACCTGTCCTGGGTCACAGATTTCGGGTTCCCACATTGGGAACTCAGGTTTGGCACTTCAGGTATTTCTGCTGCACGATTTTGGGGTCCATTCCAGGTTTTTGGGATCCACACCTGTCCAGATGTGCAGATTTCGGATCCCTTCACCTGCAGCTCAGGTGATGCAGTTCAGGTGTTTCTGCTGCAGAATTTTGGGGTCCAAAGTTGGGTTTTTGGGGCTCACACCTATCCTGGGTCAGCAATACAAGGTCCCTTCACCTGTAGCTCAGGTGATGCAGTTCAGGTGTTTCTCCTGCACGATTTTGGGGTCCATTTCAGGTTTTTGGGTTCCACACCTGTCCAGGTGTGCAGATCTGGGGTATCTTCACTTGGTGCTCAGGTGATGCAGTTCAGGTGTTTCTGCTGCAGAGTTTTGGGGTCCAGAGTGGATTTTTGGGCTCCACACCTGTCCTGGGTCACAAATTTTGGGTTCTCACACCTGCAGCTCAGGTGTTGCAGTTCAGGTGTTTCTGCTGCACGATTTTGGGGTCCAAAGTTGGGTTTTTAGGGTTCACACCTATCCTGGGTCACCAATACAAAGTCCCTTCACCTGAGGCACAGGTGTTGCAGTTCAGGTGTTTCTCCTGCAGAATTTTGGGGTCCATTTCAGGTTTTTGGGGTCCACACCTGTCCAGGTTTGCAGATTCAAGGTTCCCTCACCTGGAGCTTCATCTGTGGGGTTCTGGTGTTTCTCCTGCAGAATTTTGGGGTCCATTCTGGATTTTTAGGGTCTACACCTGTCCAGGGTCACAAATTTCGCATCCTCACCCCTGTCTCTCAGGTGTCTCGGTGCACGCGCCGGTGCTGGTGCAGATTGGACGGGTGCGCGAACCCCTTGGCGCACACCCCGCACCTGTACGGCGTCTCCCCCGTGTGCACCTTCTCGTGCACGCTCAGGTAAGCGGGGTCCTTGAACACCTTGTGGCAGTGGCCGCAGCGGTGCGGCCGCTCGGCCGAGTGGACCCTGCGGTGCTGCAGCAGCAGCGAGGGCCTSGCRAACGCTTTCCCGCAGGCGTCGCAGYCGTAGGGCCGCTCGCCCGTGTGCGCCCGCCGGTGAACCGCCAGGTACGACGACTGCTTGAAGGATTTGCCGCAGAGCCCGCAGCGGAACGGCCGCTCCCCCGTGTGCACGCGCGCGTGCGAGGCCAGCGCGTTGGACTGCTTGAAGGCTTTGCCGCACAGCCCGCAGCGGAAGGGCCGGTCGCCCGTGTGGACGCGCTCGTGCACCTTGAGGCTGTGGCCGTAAGCGAAGCGTTTGCCGCACACCCCGCAGGTGTGACCGGGAGCGGTGGCATTGTCACCGCAGCGCCGTCGCCGGTGCAGCAACAACGCCGAAGCCGCCGGGAAATCGCGGCCGCACTCCCCGCACCGGAACGGCTTTTCGGAGCCGCCCAGGTGCGTCAGGGCGTGGCGGCGGCGCTCGTAGGGCGTTTTGAAGGCTTTGGCGCAGCCGGCGCAGGTGAAGGGGCGCTCGGCGCTGTGGATGCGCAGGTGCTCGTGCAGGTTGGAGGAGCGCTTGAAGCGYTTSCCGCAGAGCTCGCAGCGGTGCGGCCGCTCCTCCGTGTGCACCAGGGCGTGGCTCTTGAAGTCCGAGTGGCGCTTGAAGGTGGCCGGGCACAGGGGACAGGTGAAGGGACGCGCCTCGGTGTGCACGGCGCCGTGGCTCAGCAGCTCCCACGAGCGCTTGAAGGATTTGGGGCACGAGGGGCACTGGAAGGGTTTGTCGGCCACGATGACGCGGCGGATCTCCAGGTGAGCTGTGACGTCAT